CATTTCACATAGGTTTAAGTTCGTTGTAGCAGCAGAAAACTGGAAACTACATGAAGTGGACCTCTTCAAGGGGGCATTCCTTGCAATGGCAAAGAGGCTCTTGATCTAAGGAACTGGACCTTTTAGTCTTCTTCCTCAGACCAAACCTAAATGCCCTGCACTCCTCCCATCCCACCTCCCTTCCCCTTTCCTACGTTTGGCCTTTAGGGATCTCCCCTCAGAATTATAGTTCCTGGGTCAAGGAATGAGAATCGTTGTCCATTGAGGCCCTCGTTGGCGGTGTTGGTGTTTGAAGTGGAGTCTGGATCATCTAGGGATGTGCTGATCTGCCCTCTGGAGTGTTGGTAGACAATCACTGGTATCCTGCTAATGATTTGGAGATGTATTAGTTTATTGGCATATTAAAGTATCATTGACTTTCATGATGATACACATCCCAATCTTGAGAGGCTGAAGTAGATACAGGTGTGCCCCACTTATACAGCAAGTTAGGTTCCGGGCTACTGCTGTAAAGTAAAAATTGCTTAGAAAGTGAAACATAGCCTTTTTTTTCACTTTCAAATACACTTACATATAAAAGCCTGATAACATATTTACACTATCATATATTAAGTGAACAATAGAGCTAGGGCTAAAAAATGCATATACAGTACACACATTATTCATTTTAAAATATTTTTATCCTTAGCTTATAGCGAGTGGTGAATATATTTATTGTAAGTCTGAATATATGAAGAATGGGTATAATTGAAAACTTCCGCATTAGCGAAATGCCGTAATGTGAAGCACTGTAAAGCGGGACCTGCTTGGACAGTAAACCCTCCATATAATGGACTAATATGGGGAAGTGTTTCAATGTCTGTTAAATTAGAATAATGTTAAAAATAAAAAAAAAATCACTACTCTATCTAATATAGTACTGTACACCTAATTTACAGTTAGTATGTATATCAAAATGAACATTGAATATAAAGGAATTAAAAGTACAGTTTATTCAGTGGATTTTATCCACTGTTTTAAAGTCATTTATTGAAAAGGTCATTTTATTGAGGGTTTACTGTATCTTGGTCAATATGAGTCATGACTTCTTGAGCTAGCATGTGGTCATTCAGGTATGCAATGAGATTCGTAGTTTGTAATGAAAAAACTTTGAATACTGCTATGTTAGGAAGATTTCCATTAGTCTACCTACCTGGAGGGCATTCCGGGATCAATGCCCCCAAGGCCCAGTCCATGACCAGGCCTCCCAGTGGATCAGGGCCTGATCAACAAGGCTGTTACTGCTGGCCGCACACAATCCAACGTATGAACCACAGCCCGGCTGATCCAGCACCGTCTTTAGGTATCTGTCCAGCTCTCTCTTGAAGACAACCAGGGGTCTTCCCGTAATGCCCTTTATTGCTGATGGGAGGCTGCTGAACAGTCTTGGGCCCCGGACACTTACTGTGTTTTCTCTTAGCGTACCAATGATGCCCCTACTTTTCACCGGGGGTATGTTGCATCCCCTGCCAAGTCTTTTGCTTTCATATGGAGTGATTGCTGTGTGCATATTAGGGACCAGTCCCTCCAGAATCTTCCAGGTGCAGGAAAGTTTTCCAAATTGTTTTTCTTAGTGTGTGTGTGTGTGTGTGAGTTACCATTTTGTCCTAGGCACATGTCAATTAGACACTAGGCCTGTTGTATATACGTGTGTGTGTGTGTGTGTGTGTGTGTGTGTGTGTGTGTGTGTGTGTGTGTGTGTGTGTGTGTGTGTGTGTGTGATGTGATGTGATAGTGTGTGTGTGATGTGAGAGTGTGTGTGTGATGTGAGAGTGTGTGTGTGATGTGAGTGTGTGATGTGAGTGTGTGTGTGATTGTGTGTGTGTGTGTGTGTGTGTGTGTGTGTGTGTGTGTGTGTGTGTGTGTGTGGTGTGTGTGTGTGTGTGTGTGTGTGTGTGTGTGTGTGTGTGTGTGTGTGTGTGTACTCACCTATTTGTGGTTGCAGGGGTCGATTGTGTGTGTGTGTGTGTGTGTGTGTGTGTGTGTACACTCACCTATTTGTGGTTGCAGGGGTCGAGTCATAGCTCCTGCCCCCGCCTCTTCACTGATTGCTACTGGGTCCTCTCTCTCCCTACTCTATGAGCTTTATCAAACTTCGTCTTAAAACTATATATGGTTCCCGCCTCCACTACGTCACTTTCTAGGCTGTTCCACTGCCTGACAACTCTATGACTGAAGAAATACTTCCTAACATCCCTTTGACTCATCTGAGTCTTCAACTTCCAATTGTGACCCATTGTTTCTGCGTCCCATCTCTGGAACATCCTGTCTTTGTCCACCTTGTCTATTCCGCGCAGTATTTTATATGTCGTTATCATGTCTCCCCGGACCCTCCTGTCCTCCAGTGTCGTCAGGTCAATTCCCCTTAACCTTTCTTCGTAGGACAATCCCCTTAGCTCTGGGACTAGTCTTGTTGCAAACCTTTGCACTTTCTCTAATTTCTTGACGTGCTTAACCAGGTGTGGATTCCAAACTGGTGCTGCATACTCCAGTATGGGCCTGACGTAAATGGTGTACAGAGTCTTGAACAATTCCTTACTGAGGTATCGGAAAGCTATCCTTAGGTTTGCCAGACGCCCGTACTCTGCAGCAGTTATCTGATTAACGTGAGCCTCAGGAGATGTGCTCGGTGTTAGACTCACGCCAAGGACCTTTTCCTTGAGTGAGGTTTGCAATCTTTGGCCACCTAGACTATACTGTATCTGCGGTCTTCTTTGCCCTTCCCCAATCTTCATGACTTTGCATTTGGCAAGGTTAAATTCAAGGAGCCAGTTGCTGGACCAGGCTTGTAGCCTGTCCAGGTCGCTTTTTAGTCCTACCTGATCCTCGACCGATTTAATTCTCCTCGTTAACTTCACATCATCTGCAAACAAGGACACTTCTGAGTCTATGTCATTCACATATACCAAAAACAGCACAGGTCCTAGGACTGACCCCTATGGAACCCCGCTTGTCACAGGCACCCACTATGACACCTCGTCACGTACCATGACTCGTTGCCTCCCTGTCAGGTATTCTCTGATCCATTGTAGTGCCTTTCCTGTTATGTGTGCCTGATCCTCTAGCTTTTGCAGTAACCTCTTGTGAGGAACTGTGTTGAAGGCCTTCTTACAGTCCAAGAAAATGCAGTCTATCCACCCCTCTCTCTCTCTTGTCCTACTTCTGTCACCTTGTCATAAAACTCCAGTAGGTTTGTGACACAGGATTTTCCTTCCCTGAAACCATGCTGGTTGTCAATTATACACTTGTTTCTTTCCAGGTGTTCCACCACTCTCCTCCTGATCTTTTCCATAACTTTGCATACTATACACATTAGTGACACAGGTCTGTAGTTTAATGCCTCATGTCTGTCTCCTCTAAAAATTGGGACTACATTTGCCATCTTCCATACCTCAGGGACAGAGAGAATGCAACAAACCATTGCCTGGAAGTAATTCTGGGTTCTGAAAAGAAGCCATGGCCTTGATGGCATTGGTAAAGGATGTCTCAGTTAGTAGGGATCTGACAGAGTGAGCCTGTGTCTAATTTATCATGTAAAAAAAATGGGGGCAGCTCCAAAAATAAACCAACAGCAACCAAGTACCTACTCTGAACCATGATCATAAAAGTTCTGACAAATAATACTATTATCCCCTGGATTATTATTATAATTAGAACTAAACCTACAGGTGTCACACAGCATTATATTATTCCTTGGAAACTGTATCTTATCCTATCCAGTGCAAAACACTACAATGGCCCCTCCAGAATTGACTGAGCAAGGCTTAGCAAAACTGCTTGATTAGACAGGAGCATTAACTGTGCAAGCATCTTTCAGTTAAAAATAGTTATGGATGACCCAGAATGAGAGCCAGTTGCTACTCCTGGGACTGCAGGCAACCTCTAGCAATACTTCTGTTATCAGAGGCCCTGCCAGAAGGCCTCCCAGTGTCATCTGACATGCCCTAAGATCCTATTTCTAACATGTGTAGTGACAAAGTAACCACAGCACTACCTATGGGCTGATTATGGTCCCTTTTTTTCCATGTCTAGTAGCTGGATTTCACAAAAGAGAAAATTTCCCCATTAATGAGGCCATATAGAGAATAGAGGATATTTGGACTCAATCTGAAGAAGGGGATAAGACGTCTAATTCCTCAGATCAAAAGCATATTTGATGCATCAAGACTTCTCTTAAAGGGTTTTTCAGCTAAAAATGGTAGAGGGCAAATCAAAACAAATGCCTGAGTCATAGACCTTCAGTTGCTGCTTCTGAATCTACAGGCAACCTCAAGTAGTATTCCTGCCATCTGAGGGACTGCTGGAGACCCACTCAATGTTTCACAGGTGGGCCAGACAAGAAGCCCTGAGATGGTATAATTTCCACTGGAAGGATTCAAATAGTCACCACAAATCTACCCTTTCAAAAACACTTAAAACAGGGTTGGACAGTGAAGTCTTTTCCTTTCATCATCAACAGAATTCTACAAATCCCAACTAATGCAGCCAAGAGAAGAGTGGAGAAGTGGGAGCATTTACACTGAATCTGAAGCAGGGAAAGACTGCTTCAGGTCCACACAGCAAGAGCCCATCACCAACAAGGTACTTGAAGGGACAACCAGTACAGAAATACGATAGCAGCAGTGATTATTCTAGCCCCTGGTCAGTCACCATAGTGACGAGAACCCCATTAACCCTTCCTACTTAATGGCTACTGTCTGCTTGACCACAGAAGTAACACCAGCTCCCATCCATCCTCTACCATGACAAGGTCTAGCCTCACAAGGGTGGCTGCATTAGTGCATCTCATTAGAACTCCACCTGGAGGCTGAAACAAGTATTATTGCTAAAGTGAAGTACTGTATGTGTATGTGGCAGGGTTTTGTCTGTCATAAAACTTTCAAGCTTCTTGCCAATTCTCTCAACCCTCATAAACCAATACAAATATACAATTGGTATTGCTTATAAAAAAAATTCTCTCCCATGAGCAAATTTTCTTTATTGCAGAATAAAATTACACATTATACTGAAATTTATGGCACCATAATACTGTCACACATATAGCTGGTTTATAAAAGCAAACAAACACAGTAAATCCAATATAAACACTATATATCAGTTGTTTAGTTTTATTGGATTTTCAAGTTAAAATTTGAGCTATGAATAATAATGGGTCTTTTAATGGTTAGTTGGTTTAAGCATTGCAACAGCAGTCAATCAAGAGAACAATGTTTCCAATAATATATTAGCTATCTGACAAACTTGCAAAATAAAATACTATTAAACACTGGAAATTCCTAGAACAACCAAGGGTAATCCTCCTTACTTGCCTGTATAACAAGTACCAGAAGCACACCTGGTTAGTTGTGTCAATGCTTTTGCTTATAGACTGATCAGAGGTAGTCTGACATGTGCAAACATGCAAAATTACCAGTGAAAAAATAGTGAAATTCCATCCTCTTTCATGATTTCTCACATTATCAAGAAATAGTAAATAGAACAGGACAACAGATTATTTTGAATGTTCCTTGATAATGTGAGAAATCATGAAAACACATGGAATTTCACTATTTTTTTTACCTTGGTAATTTTGCATATTGTGATATCACCTATTATTTACTGTGATCATATCGCATGTGCAAACATGCCTTATAATTCGTTTTATGTACACTAACACACAAAAACCAACAGCAAATTAGGCAAAAAATACATTAGCAAAAACAGGTATTTCTGTACACTTTACAGTCTTCATTCACACAAAAAAGATGCAACCTGTATTTACTGTTAATGTGGGTCAATGATTTTGAGATTCATTGCCCCCATATCCCAAATTTTGCAGATATACAATAATTATAAATGAGAAAATTCCTTTTCTGAATTTGAGCGAATTCTAAATAGAGAAAATTATAAAACAGGCACAGATAATATCTTGTATTAGCATCAGAGTATTATTCCATGAAAGCATTTGGAAACTGAAATATACAGTACACACATTTTTCAATGCCCAGTCCTAAAATCAAAAACACTTCAAAATGCACTAATACAGCATTATTGTATAAACTAGAGTCTATGTTATAATACCTGAAATGTGCAATGGTAGAAAATGAAGTTTAAAAAGTAGTGTCATAAAAATATTATATAAGTCAACATATGTAATATATAAAATACAATCATGCCCTTACAATCACACAAAAAATATGTAAACACAAAGAATAAAAAAAATATTTACTCATATCCCAAGAGTCTTGAAGCCTCCCACACATGTACAAGGTTGGCTAAATGATAAACCTTCCCACCACAAGAACCCTTCTTACACACACGTAAAAGAATAAAATGCAAGCTTCCAACACGTAAGATGCTGTCAGCAATCATCCTGAGTAACATATAGGTAGGTCTTTCCATACTCATTTTTCCTTAAGTAAATCTCCTTTCTTTTGCAGTCCATTATTATTGCCATTTAACTGATCACCCTCATACCTACAACGATTTTACAGTTTTGGCTTCAATTATTATTACTTACTGCATTCATGGGGTCATACAGTACCTGGGAGAACAACTTCAATATGTATATTGGGTATGACTTCATCATCTTTGAATTCCTTTACATAGCGAGAATAAGGCTTCATTGCAACAACCCGACCATATTTATACAATTGTTCAAATGCTATTTCATTATGTATAGGCAAGTTTATGATTTATGTAATATGTAGACTGGCTAAATATGAAATGATAATATGGTTAGACAACATTTGTATAGTTTATGATATGATTTTGATTTTAAACTACCAGTAAATATTAACAACTATGTGTAAACCAGCTATTCTGCTTGTGATAGTGGTTTTATCCTTTAAGCACCAATGATGAAGTTTGACGACTCAAAACTATATACAAAAAAGTGAAGATCCACAACTGCCAGTAACTCACAAAGTGGAAATAAGTCTTTAGATGATGTTTCATTCTATTGTGACAATGGTCCCAGATGAAATAAATTGTATGCTAATAGTACCTTTTAAGAAATAAACAGTACAAGTACATACTAGCTGAAATATCAGATTAATATTATACACATAATAAATTGCAATTTATAAGTTATCACCAGTGGAAAACCCTATACAGTACAGTGGACCCCCGCTTTACGATCAGCTCCCAATGCGACCAATTATGTAAGTGTATTTATGTAAGTGTGTTTGTATGTGTCCTCCATGGGGAAGTGGAACAGAATTCTTCCTCCGTAAGCCATGCGTGTTGTAAGAGGCGACTAAAATGCCGGGAGCAAGGAGCTTGTAACCTCTTCTCCTGTATATATTACTAAATGTAAAAGGAGAAACTTTCGTTTTTCCTTTTGGGCCACCCCGCCTCGGTGGGATACGGCCGGTGTGTTGAAAGAAAGAGAAGTTTGTATGTGTATGTTTGGGGGTCTGAAATGGACTAATCTAATTCACAATATTCCTTATGGGAACAAATTCGGTCAGTACTGGCACCTGAACATACTTCTGGAATGAAATAATATCGTAAACCGGGGGTCCACTGTACTAGGGAAAAATAATCACACCAACAAATTCTTACACAGCAGAGTTAAAAATGCCACATATCCCGAGTCATCCAGATCTTGAACTCTCTCTTTAAGAGTGGATACACTGCATTTCTAACAATTTATGAAACTGTACTTACCAGAAAACATCGTTTTGGGTAGAACTCATGGAAACTGGTGAGATGAGCAAGATGTATCAGTGTCCACACAGCCACACAACAGCAAGTTTTCGTGATCATCAAAAAACGTGTATTGGATTACTGGAGGATGTCAAGTCGGTAATTTGATGCCTTCTTATAAAGGGAATCCCAGCATATTGTGTCCATAGGGAAAAATGTAAAACTTACAATTTTGCTTATTATCCAAACTGAATACCATTGAGCCATCCACATACATATTGTCATCAATTTTTTTTAAACTTCCAAAGATGGAAACAATAATCTGATAGCAAACATTTTGAATGTTTTCCTTCAGTACTGTAATATTGTTTAGATTTTGGGATAATCCATGAATTTCAGGTATCCACATAAAAACAGCAATTCCACCTTCTCTTAACTATCATAATAAACCATTAGGGCATTCTAATTTCTGAATATGCAAAACCAACATTAGATATTTAATTTTAAGAATATAAAGCCTATATTTCCTATGGGTCCAGACTTTGAGACACTCCTCATAATGACATCAGTGTCACTTCTCTGTAATCAACTTGTCCTATGTCCTCTATATGTATATGATTTCCTAACAAGTACATAGTAATCCATTTAGTCTCTCAAGAGGTTGCAATGTCACCCAGACTCAATGTATACTCATCCAATGCCAAGACTGTCAACGTCAATGCTTACCTTCTCTTTTCACTGAACAATGTAGTTTCCCTTAATTCTTTACAGTCGAAATTGTTCGTTAGACACCTTTTATGCCTGCATCATAATTATTATTCAGCAGGATCTAGAATAGATGCAGAATTACTATCCTGGTTGGGTAAAATATATAACAATAATAAAAAAGTTTGGTGTAAAAATGTCAAGGAATTCTTCATGTTGCACCAGCCCAATGCTTACACACTTGTAAACCAACTTGAGGCAGTGTGTGCTGACACCTATGCTCCTGACTTCAAGTAGACTACAAATTTTATGTAGCATCACCTTGAATCACCTTAGATTCTCTATTTAAAGCAAAATGGACAAGCCCATGGAAATACAGTATTTTATCCTTAGTGAATCTCTGAAAGAAAAAGAAATGATTTTGGATATATGGTATTTAACTAGTACTAGGAAATGCTGTATACATGTATATCATTACTGTACTAGCATCAACAAAACCTTATATGATACAGTACTAAGACACTCGCTACTATCAACAACATAATCCAAATTAAGTTACATCACATAAGCCTAATGAAAATGGGTTCAGGAAAATGTACTTTATGAAGTATTACAATTTTTAAAATAAATCAGATACAATTTTAGCCATCTTGACTTAAATGCTTTTTACGATTAAGCTTAGGTACAATTACATCATCCAATTTTTCAGGTTTCTGCTGTGATTTTGGCACATTGCCAACATTTTCTGTACAATCGCACCAAGGTGTTATAAATTTATCACACTCAAGGATAACATTCAATATTGTCATCGGAGCTCCCTGAATTGTCATCTGAAACAAGAAAATAAGTTTTAATGAATACATTTGAAGTATTTTGTTTTTCAGATAGTGAGAGACTTTAAAAGCTAATACCAACCATCTCTTCATATAGGCTAGTCTTTTTTTTTATACACACCGACTATTTCCAACCACGGTATACCTGGAGGGTGAATATTTGGAGGATGTTCTGGAGGTTAACACCTCCAAGGCCTGGTCCATAACCAGGTAGGATTATCCAAAGACGGAAATACATTCACCATCACTCATTCAATAACTGTCTTGCCGAAGGTGCATGAACATTACAATTCAGATGGCCCTCCTTGTTACATCACCACCCCATCCTTCTGAGTGCATATGCTGTACCTTCCACCACCTGAAACCCTGCACAGACGTTACTTTGTCCATTCTACAACAGCAACTCAAATCCCAAAAGTCATTCGTCATCAATCATTATTAATTCCACATAGGACTCATCTAAGACATTTTTTTATTTTTAACATGTTGGCCATTTCCCACCCAGGCAGGGTGACCCCCCCCAAAAAAAAAAAAAAAACTTTCATCATTATTCAACACTTTCAGCATCACTCGTACATAATCACTGTCTTTGAGAAATATGCGAGAATGAAGTCACTGATTATTTAGTATCTTTGTTGGAGGAAATAATAAGCAAGTTTTGATTGGCAGCTTAAGCAAAGTAATGGTATAATCTGATTATATTCTTCATCTCTACTTCTTAAAATATTGCCTAGTTTCTGAAACTAGACAATATTTTAAAAGTTATAGATAAAAGTTACAGATATGTGTATTTAAAGATTAGCAGTAATACAATATAATAATCGAGTAAATAAATAATAAATAAATTACAGTACAGTGATGTGAAAAGTGATATACAGTACCGATGCATGTAATTCTGGTTAACAGAAAATATACAATTTTGAGAATGGAACTTTTCTTGCTTTTAGAAGCAGTTTGCAAAGAGCAAATAAAATAGATGCATGGTAGAAACAAGGTTGAAATCTTAGGAAGTTTGACAATATAAAGAAACAAAAGATAGCAATAAGCTGAGGGAGTATAAAGAAGCTGGATACAATGAAAGAGAATAAGAGGCTGAAAATGTGATGACAATTGGACAAAGTAAGCAAGAAGGATGCCAGTATTAATAAGTGTATAACACTGAGTGGGTATACAATGCTTTAAAACTCTGCTTTTACAGCATGTTACACACCTTTAATACCTTTGATGAGTTTCAAGAGGCTTACTACTCTCAGAGCCCAGCCATGGGCCAGGCACAGTGGGAAATATTGTAATGATTTTTTTTAATGTCTCCCAATGAGGTAGAGTAACCTGACAAAGAAAAAAAATTCTTTCACTGTCACTCATTCAATCAGTCTTGCTAGAGGAGCACTAACATCACAGTTAATTAAGATGACCTTCCAAACTGCAACATTCTAACCCCTTTCAGAGTGCAGGCACTGTACCTCCCACCTGCAAGATTCAAATCCGGCCAATCGGTTTCTCTGAATCTCTTCATAAATATTCCTTTGGTAACACTCCAACAGCACATCAAATTATAAAAAACAACCTGCCTTCACTCACTACTATCTAACATATGTACATACAAAAGCCTGTTGGATGTCCAAGCCCCTAGCACTTCAAACTGCCTTTACCCTCTCCCTCCAATCATTCCTAGGATGACCCCTTCCCCTCCACCCCAGATTTATACACTCTCCTAGTCAATCTATATGTCTCCAGCTTCTCTAAATATCCAAACCACATCAGTAACCTCTCCTCTGCTCCCTGAATAAAACTTCTGGTAACTCCACACCTCCTCCTAGTCTCCAAGCTCTGAATTCTCTGCATAATATTCACACAACACATTGCCCTCAAACATAATATCTCTACTGCCTTCAGCCTCCTCCTCACTGAAACATTCAAAACCAACAGTGGTACCAACAGTGTTGGCATAGTGGTACCCACAGTGTTGGTATAGTGATATCAACAGTATTGTTATAGTGATTCCAACAGTGTTGGTACCACTATACTCTGATACATTCCCCTTTTTGCCTCCATGGATAAAAAGTTCTTTGTTTCTACAGATTCCTCAATGCACCACCCAACTTTTCCCCTTCATCAATTTTATGGTTCACCTCAACTCTCACTGAACCATCTAAGACAAGTTCACCCCAAGATATCTGAACACACATGCTTCCTTCATACTCCCTCCTTGCAACCTATTATCTAATCTCTCACTGTCTGCATTTTTGACACTCATCACTTTGCTCTTTCCTACATAAATTATAAGAAGCCTGAAACAGTAATAGCTGTAGATACCAAATTTCCACTGATTTTTATACATTATACAATTTAGAAAACTTATTTTAAATGTTACCAATACACTGACTTTATCAAGGAACGTGAATTTCAATCCTTCATTTACAGACCATATACATGTATATAGTACCAGTATGTCATAGAAAATGACTAAAATGCCAAGTGCAAGGAGCTGGTTATACTTCACATGTAATTTATAACTAAAAGAAGTGTGTTTTCTTCTTTGGGCCACTCTGCCTTGGTGGGAACTAACTGGTGAAATAAAAAATAAACAATGAATTATGTTCTTACAATGTTACTGTTTAGTAAATAAATCACAAAAAATCTTGCCTCTTTCTTGCTCTGGATCTTGTAGCGAACGGTAGAGAGGCCAGTCTGACGGTCTCGATGTCGTGTAATTTCTTGTTGATTATAACATTTGATCATGTCACGTCTTCGCACACGTCTGTCATGGATGTGCCTAGAAAACACAAATCATTGTACATTTCCAACAGTTATATATGTAATATTTTTTTTTAGTGTACCAGCTGTCTCCCACTGAGGCAAGGTGTCTTACAAAGAAAAACAAAAGTTTTTCTTTTTACATTCAGTAATTTACATAGGAAAAGCAGTTACTAGTCCCTTGCTCCCGGCATTTTAGTCGCCTCTTACAACACGGATGGCTTACAGAGGAAGGATTTTATGATAATATTCTGTGTATATATTTAAAAAGAATATATTCAGCAAGTTCAACTGTAGCAATTAGAAGTGACCTGTAGGATATGATAGGTTGTTCAAGTGTGAGCCAGGAATGTTTACAAATGAACTTTGGAAAACTAATTAGCTGCACTTTTAACTTGTGAAATAGCTATGCCTTATTGGAAAGGATGATAAAAGTGTAAGTGATACTGAACGTGTTTTTTTTTTTAATTTTTTTGGAAAATAAACATGGAATAATCCATGTTCTTTGAACAATCTTTAAATACAGTGGTACCTCAAGTTTCGAACAGCTCCCAACTCGAACAATTATGTAAGTGTATTTTTGGGGGTCTGAAACGGACTAATCTAATTTACATTATCCCTTATGGAAACAAATTCGTTCAGTATCGGCACTCGAACAGCCTTCTGGAACGAACAAAGTTCGTAACTCTAGGTACAACTGTAATTTGTCCAGTAACTATATTAATATAAAAATTGCAGGTACAGTGCATAATACTGCAGAAAGGTAATGTGCTGTTTGTTGCAGTTATGGATTTAGAAAAGGTATGATAGGGTGGACAGGGAAGCCATGTGGCAGATGCTGCAAATGTATTGAATAGAAGGTAGGTTACCGAAAGCAGTTAAGAGTTTTTATGCAAAGTGAAACTGAGCCTCACCTTGGTTGTTCAACATATGTTAAACAACCATTTCAACATGAATGTTTATCATATTTATAGATGGGGTTGTAAAAGAAGTGAATGCTAGGCTGTTGGTAAGGGTGTGGGATTAAAAGCCATTAGATCTCTTACAAGGTGGGAGTTATCACTTTGTCTGATTTTTCTGGTTTATCCTAGATTCTCTACACATATGATGCTATGTATGAAACTCTATGTAACTGTATTTGTGTATACCTGAATAAATTTACTTACTATTTCCTGATGACAGTTCTTTTGGGGGATTCTGAAGACAAGTTGCAAAGAATGGTGGAGGAATTTGGGAGAATATATAAAAGAAGGAAATTAAAGGTGAATATAGAAAAGAGCAAGATGATGAGAGTAATAAAAAGTCAAGGTAATGATAGACTGAATATCAGACTGGAGGGAGGAAGTATGGAGCAAGTGAATGCATTTACTGGGAGTGGACATGTCAGCAGATGGGTCTATGAAAGATGAAGTGAACTACAGAATACAGATGAAGGATAAAGATGGGAAGGGGGAGGGGAGTATTGAGGCAACTGTGAAAAGAAAGAAATTTATCTATGGAAGCAAAATAAGACACTGAGTATCAGACTGTAATGGTAACAATACATTTAAATGGGTGTGAGTCATGGGTTTTGAATGCTGTAGCAAGGAGGAGGTTCGAGGCAGTGGAAATGTCATTTTGAGAGCAATGTGTGGTATGAATATCATGCAGAGAATCTGAAGCATAGACATTACAAAAGGTGATGTGGGGTTACCAAAAATATAATTTAGAAGGCTGAGGACAGGATACTGAGATAGCTTTAGTTTGTCAAGGCTAGAGAAAGACAGGTTGATAAAGATGGCATATAAATCTGGGGTGAAAAATAGTAGAGGCAAGGATCATCAAAGAAATGGTTGGCGGTAAGGGTGTGGCAAAGACTCTGAGTTTTAGGGGCTTGAGTGTCCAGCAGGCTCATGTGAGCATGTTAAATAGGAGTGAATAGAGTAAGTTGTTTTTAAAGGATGTGCTGTTGAGATGACCATTACAAATTTTCTTTCCAACATATTATTCCATTTTCATCATATATCTAAAAAAATGTTGACTATTAAACAACCGTCAGAGCAGTTTATTACCTGAATGTATCTTTGGTTGCAGAGGTGAGATTGCCAGGGCGGAATATTTCAAGTTTTGCTTCTTTAAGCCGAGCAAAAAACTCATCGTCTTCTAGCCCCCAACCCCAGTATTTGTTGCTCAGTCCGTCTACCTTACGAAAGTGCTCTCTAGGGTCATAAATATCCATTATAAGCTTTGAATGCAAATTTTCTGTCTTCATACGAAATTAGTTATGTATCTGTAATATAAAACTTTATACAGAATTATATGGTGGTCATATGAAGAGATGTGACAAGGCAAGTGTCAGATATACCAAGAGGATACAGACTATTTGCTGAAAGCTTGCTATCAAAACAGTTTTGAAACACTTACTGTATTAAAAAGTGAGATTTATAATGTAATAAGTCATGTTTTCAAGCTTTTCCAAGATGCAAAAAGAAAAACAGAAATTATAATAAAATAAGCCATGATAAGTAGGCTTATCTGTAGATCTAAAAATTTTTCATTTAAAGTAGAAAATATAAAAACATTGGCAAAAAATATCTTCACTCCTATGAGAAATCTTACCTTTTAACAAGTAGTATACCCCCAATGAAAGTAGGATAATGGTATCGTGGGTGAAGATGTGGGGCAGCAACATGATATGGGCCATCATGAGGAAATTCATAAGTCAATGCAGTATTCATGGGCAAAAGGTCAACATCATGCATTGCAATATAATCACAGTCAACACCTGATTCTAAAAAGCCCACATTAAGGAGAGACGCTCGGTTAAAGCGGAGGTTATCAACCTAGAAAAGACCAATAAAAATAATTATGACAAAATATTAGAACACTATGTTGATTATCAGATCTACATCATAATACAGTGCAATAAAGTATGAAAACTCCTGGTTGAATCCTCCCTTATACACAACTTTCCTTGTATGAATCTTAGTCCTGGCTTTGTCTCTGTAGATGCCTTCCTTTCCCACTACATTGTAAAATGTTCCAAACTTCAGAATGCCCATGACCTAGCCTGATTCCTTCTGCTACTTCTCCCCTTCCCCTTTTCCCTTTTTTCCCTTTTGGGGTTTTCTTTTTCTCCCTTTGGGGGTTTTTTTTTTCCCCCATTTTTTTCCCCCCCCCTATGTGGGCCCTAGCTCCCTTGCAGGCTCCCTTTCTTAGATTTTTTGGACTGACCCCACCCTACAATTACTACTTCCACCACTACCACCCTCCTCCATTACTATCCCCCACCCCCACTATACCTCTTTTGTCCCTTTTCCTGTCGTGGCCCTTTAATACTATATATCCCCCCTTCTTCCTTTTTGTTAGTGTGGCTTTCAAAATGGTCCAAGTGGATAAACGTATCGTAAGCCCTTCTTTATGGTGGGTTTTTGTGTATTACTCCCCAAAAAAGCAAACAACCATAAAAACCAACGTCCCCATTTTTTTGGTTTTTGTAAACCACAAAACCTTCTGGATGCTCAAGAACTACCACTCAAACCCTCCTTTACCCTTTCCCCCAAATTTTTTCCCTGGGAAAGCCCTCCCCCCCTTCTTGCTCCCCAAAAGATTTTTAATGGTTTAGTAATCCTTTGTCTCCACCCTTTTCAAAATTGGGATCCAAACCACCTCAAAAATCTTATCTCTGAATTATTCTTTGGAAACCCCTTGAGTCTTGCAGTTTTAAGCTCTAAATTTTTTTGAAAAGGTAATTTCACACCACACATTTTCTCATCATGACATTTCCCCCAAACCTCTAACCCCCTTTTGCTAAAATGGTTAAAGCCTATGCCTCACATTCACTAAAAAAATGTTAGTACCATTAACTTTGCATTCCCATTTTTCCTCCATTTGTAAACTTCTTCCTCATACATATGCCCCAAAACTCCACCTACTTTTTCCCAATTATGCTACGGGTTTATTATCTTTATAGGCAAAAGGTTTTTTTACCAGTTTAATAAATTCGGTTATAGAATACACTTCAATGTAAATAATTTATCAACATTACTCACCTGATTAATGATATACAAGTGGTGATTTTTGTGCTGAGCATTTAGGAAGTTATGAATGTGAGGAACAAATTCTAGCATCTCCTCAAAGCGATCCCTGTATGTGAACACTAAAATTAGAAAGGTACAGGCTAGCCCTCCTCCACCCTTTAACACACACAACACTAACAGTATGTGTAAACATAAGTACATGCACTATTCTAGCAGATATTTTTACTTCTTTATAAACATTTCAAAAAATCCAAAACTAAAGCTTCTCTGAACTTTATTGAAGTTAATTTCTTCAAAGGATTTTGAATACGATGCATTAATTATGAAATGCCAAATGGACTGGCATTAGTTTTTAGTTTTTCTATGGAACATATTATTATTATTAACACACCAGCCATATCCCACTGAGGCAGTGACCCAAAAGAGAAGAAACAAAATTTTTTTTTCTTTTTACATTTACTAATTTATACAGGAAAAGGGGTTACTAACCCCTTGCTCCCAGCATTGTAGTCATCACTTACAACCCATATGGCTTACAGAGGAAGTATTCTTCTCCATGCAGTTTATTATTATTATTTATTATTATTTTTATTATTATTACTGAAGAATAACAGTTACATATTTGTGACTTGAATAATGCACAATTAACCCACAAAATGGAGAGGAGACTTTAGATGTTTTGGTCTAGCCTGAACATTATTAAGTCAAGTTTCCTCTCCAAATTGTAGATTTAATGAGAATCCTTATTATTTATTATTTTTAACACAGAGACTCTCTCTCACTGAAGTAGAATGACACCATCCCCCCCCCCCAAAAAAAAAAACATTCACCATCATCAATTCATGCCAGAAGCGTGTTGATGACCACTGAACTGCAGAATCCCCACCACTTCTTCAGAGTGCAGGTATTGAGTGTTCTACCTCCAGGGCTCAAGCCTGGCTAACCAACTTCCTTAAGTCTCTTCATAACTGTCACCTTGCTCACACTCCAGCAGCACAAGTCATAAAAACCACTCGTCTCCACTCATTCACAAAAAACATTAATACACTATGTTAGAAAGAGTTAATCATAAAGGTCAAACCCCCTGTGTTACCCTCCTTACAATCATCATTTGCTGAATCCTTCTCATATTCCTCAACATTCTCAGAATCTTAAAAAAAAACAAAAAAAAAAAAAAAAGCTTCAATAGCCTTGCATAAGGGTGTCCTCCTTTTCACCTCAAGCATAATGCTAAAGGCAGTCAGCCTTGCAATACAGAATTTTGAAAAATATACAAAGTAATTCAATAATGCAAAACACAAATGTTAAGTTTTTGGGACATAATCATACAACTGTGAAACAAACTGCCATCTAATGATGTATGTAATTTCAAAAATAACACAACCAAATGAGAATCTATGATCCTTATAATTAAAATCCATTTTTCAAGGCTATGAAAATCAGCTGTGTAAGGATGTACAGGACCTGACAAACTAACATACAGCTGTACAAGCTTAAACAGCTTAATAGTTGAAAATTACAAATAATCATTTTCTCTAATAAATTGCTAACAAACCTTTGATATAACCTGTATATTGTTGCAATAACTTTGTAAAATATTAAAAAAAAAAGGTACTAAAGTGAAGTTATTTTTAATTATCATATTAACCCCTAAATGTCCAAATGTATATATACGTATATTCTTTCGCCCAGTGCCCGGAATATTTTGAAAAATAAAAAATAATTTTTTATTGAAATAAAGAGAAAATTTTTCTGAGTGTTATAGGATTAAAATAAAAAATTAGGGTCAGTACTTACCGAGATATAAGGCTGCAAAGTTGCACTTAATGCTCACCTGATGGCAACATCGAGTCCTGCCACTTGCAGAAGTGTTGCCAATATACCTTTTTTCCTCATTTTTATATTATTTTATATAATTTTTATGTTCTGATATTTACAATTTATTGTAGTTCTTGTCATTTCATAACCAATCTTTGTTCTGACACTAATATTAGGTACTGAAATTGTACTCAAATTTTCACGAACACATTGACAGGTGGACAATAATACCTGCCTTGGTCATTTACTATTGTCTAGGAATATATATAAAGTGTTTATAGGTCCCAGCAATGTTTTGGATACACGGGAGTATAGAAGAAGAAGGAAGAAGAAGGAAGAAGAAGAAAGACGACGAAGTTCCCTTGAAGCATGATGTCAGTGACAAGCATCGGGGAGGGCAGCGATTGGATGAGATAAGGGATGACATTTGATGGGCACCTGGAGGGTGCAGAGATAAGATGAGATAAGGGGTGACATTTGATTGGCTCCTGCAGGGTGCAGGGATAAGATGAGATAAAGGGTGACATCTGATGAGCATTGGCATCTCTGACTCTGCTTATCAGTCTCTGTGTCTTGTCTCTCTGTCTGCTTGTCTCTCTTTCTGTCTCTCTGCTTGTCTCTCTCTCTCTCTGTCTCAGAGAGAGCCACTATGAACCAAAAGGTATTCTTATGCATTATATCTACAAGCACAATATAGCACTTCATATTTTTTTTTTTTTTTTTCAACAAGTCGGCTGTCTCCCACCGAGGCAGGGTGACCCAAAAAAGAAAGAAAATCCCCAAAAAGAAAATACTTTCATCATCATTCAACACTTTCACCACACTCGCACATTATCACTGTTTTTGCAGAGGTGCTCAGAATACAACAGTCTAGAAGCATACACATTTAAAGATACACAACATATCCCTCCAAACTGCCAATATCCCAAACCCCTCCTTTAAAGTGCAGGCATTGTACTTCCCATTTCCAGGACTCAAGTCCGACTATATGAAAATAACCGGTTTCCCTGAATCCTTCACTAAATATTACCCTGCTCACACTCCAACAGATCGTCAGGTCCCAAGTACCATTCGTCTCCATTCACTCCTATCTAACACGCTCACGCACGCTTGCTGGAAGTCCAAGCCCCTTGCCCACAAACCTCCTTTACCCCCTCTCTCCAACCCTTTCGAGGATGACCCTACCCCGCCTCCTTCCCCTATAGATTTATATGCTTTCCATGTCATTCTACTTTGATCCATTCTCTCTAAATGACCAAACCACCTCAACAACCCCTCTTCTGCCCTCTGACTAATACTTTTATTAACTCCCACACCTTCTCCTAATTTCCACACTCCGAATTTTCTGCATAATATTTACACCACACATTGCCCTTAAACAGGACATCTCCACTGCCTCCAACCGTTCTCCTCGCTGCTGCATTTACCACCAAGCTTCACACCCATATAAGAGTGTTGGTACTACTATACTTTCATACATTCCCTTCTTTGCCTCCATAGATAACGTTTTTTGACTCCACATATACCTCAACGCACCACTCACCTTTTTTCCCTCATCAATTCTATGATTAACCTCATCCTTCATAAATCCATCCGCCGACGCGTCAACTCCCAAGTACATATCTGAAAACATTCACTTCTTCCATACTCCTCCTCCCCAATTTGATATCCAATTTTTCTTTATCTAAATCATTTGACACCCTCATCACCTTACTCTTTTCTATATTCACTTTCAACTTTCTACCTTTACACACATTCCCAAACTCATCCACTAACCTTTGCAATTTTTCTTTAGAATCTCCCATAAGCACAGTATCATCAGCAAAAAGTAACTGTGTTAATTCCCATTTTGAATTTTATTCCCCAAAATTTAATCCCACCCCTCTCCCAAACACCCTAGCATTTACTTCCTTTACAACCCCATCTATAAATATATTAAACAACCATGGTGACATTACACATCCCTGTCTAAGACCTACTTTACCGGAAGTAGTCTCCCTCTCTTCTACACACCCTAACCTGAGCCTCACTATCCTCATAAAAACTCTTTACAGCATTTAATAACTTACCACCTATTCCATATACTTGCAACATCTGCCACATTGCTCCTCTATCCACTCTATCATATGCCTTTTCTAAATCCATAAATGCAATAAAAACTTCCCTACCTTTATCTAAATACTGTTCACATATATGCTTCAATGTAAACACTTGATCTACACATCCCCTACCCACTCTGAAACCTCCTTGCTCATCCGCAATCCTACATTCTGTCTTACCTCTAATTCTTAACCCTACCGTACACTTTTCCTGGTATACTCAGTAAGCTTATTCCTCTATAATTTTTACAGTCTCTTTTGTCCCCTTTCCCTTTATATAAAGGGACTATACATGCTCTCCGCCAATCCCTAGGTACCTTCCCCTCTTTCATACATTTATTAAACAAAAGTACCAACCACTCCAACACTATATCCCCCCCGCTTTTAACATTTCTGTCATGATCCCATCAGTTCCAGCTGCTTTACCCCCTTTCATTTTACGTAATGCCTCACGTACCTCCCCCACACTTACATTCTGCTCTTCTTCACTCCTAAAAGATGGTATACCTCCCTGACCAGTGCATGAAATTACTGCCTCTGTTTCTTCCTTAACATTTAAAAGTTCCTCAAAATTTCTCGCCATCTACCCAATACCTCCATCTCCCCATCTACTAACTCCCCTACTCTTTTTTAACTGACAAATCCATATTTTCCCTAGGCTTTTCTTAACTTGTTTAACTCACTCCAAAATTTTTTCTTATTTTCATTAAAATTTCTTGACAGTGCCTCTCCCACTCTATCATCTGCTCTCCTTTTGCACTCTCTCACCACTCTCTTTACCTTTCTTTTACTCTCCATATACTCTGCTCTTCTTATAACACTTCTGCTTTGTAAAAACCTCTCATAAGCTACCTTTTTCTCTTTTATCACACCCTTTACTTCATCATTCCACCAATCACTCCTCTTTCCTCCTGCCCCCACCCTCCTATAACCACAAACTTCTGCCCCACATTCTAATACTGCATTTTTAAAACTATTCCAAACCTCTTCAACCCCCCCACTACTCATCTTTGCACTAGCCCACCTTTCTGCCAATAGTCGCTTATATCTCACCCGAACTTCCTCCTCCCTTAGTTTATACACTTTCACCTCCCTCTTACTTGTTGTTGCCACCTTCCTCTTTTCCCATCTACCTCTTACTCTAACTGTATAATTTTATTTATGTCTACCTGTGATACAGAGATAAAGATAGACAGAGAGAGACCAACAGAGATACATCACTTTCCTCTTAAAAGGGGAGTGTTAATATGACATTACATCAGTGAATCCTTGGTGTTTGCCACACTGTTTGCTCTAGTTGGTACTTAATTTAACTGGCACTCCCACAAGGTACTAAGTGGTCCCAGATTTTTTTAATATGATGCACACCAAGTGTTAAGACCAATTCTATGCTGCCCAGGCATCTCAGGCCAATTGTGCCAAATTTGGAGGCAGGAAAAATAAAAGGTATATATACGTTTGGGGCACTAGCAGTAAGAATTTTATATGACTGAAATGCTCTGAACTAACAGTAATAAAACGTTACCTATAAAACCTTGTTTTGCTTTAGTAATGTTTTTTATTAATAATTCTTGTTTACATTGCATTTCTTTTTAAACAAAAGATGGTTTTAATTTAAAATTGCATTGCTTACCTAAATGGCACAAGGACAGCCATTTTGTGTCTGTCATTTGGGAATGTCTTGGGAGCTTGGAAGAGTGACTGACCAAGAAATGCACTAGTAGTGACAGCCTTTTGGTGACCACGACACTCACACTGATCTGAAACATTAACTATGTATTTAGGTAACTGACAGCCCACTCGCTCTGCATCACAATGGTACAGCCATTGTAATAACTTGTGTTTTTAGTAAGTAACATAAGTAATACTCTAGTGTACATTAAAAAAAAAAGACTCACAGAAATAAGAAGATTAATACAATGTCCTTGAGAGCAAAAAAAAAGCTAATTTCAGCACAAAAAGTTCAAAATACTATATAAACAATTTATTGTAATTAAAAAATGTATGATATAAATGTGACTAAAACAAATACAACCATTTATAGAGAATAAAACCAACTTAAGCCCACAATAAAAGTAAACCGTACTGCTTGGCTCTCTACTTCAACTCTCCATAACATGATAAACTATTATAAAAAAAATACATCTCACAACTGTGAACCTCAAAGTGCTCAGAGAGTCAGTGACTCAGTTTTTCTTTATTTATAAAAAACATTTATACATTGTTCAATATCAATGGCCTACTCTTAAAAAGACAAATTTGTTCTGTATAAACATAACCAATGTGAACTAAAAGTAAATCTTTGTTGCAAATCAAAAACCAATCATAGATCAACATACCTGTATTTGCTGATGGTAGAGATACATAGAAGAAAAATACGAGACAGAGGCCAAGACCCCAGAGAAGAGTGGTGGGTCGCTTAAATCGCAACATAGCAGCTAGGGTCATCCAAGTCCCCGACACCAATAACTGCTAAAATATAAAATTTGATGCCCTATTAAACAAGTCATTATATGTCATTCCTCATGGTTCACTTTATATGATAGCCAAACAAGCATTTGTAATTCTTTGGCAACTTTTTAGGTGTTCTTTATAAACTCTTTTAACATGAAGACATCTGAAATATTTGATGATTTTGTAAGAAGCTACTCTTTAAAGAAAGAAGTTACCACATTAGCCTTCTTCCACCTAGACAGGAGTGACCAAAAAATGAAGGAAACATTCACCATTATCCATTCAATAGTTATCTTGCTAGAAATGCACAGACATAACAATTTCAATAACCCTCTGATAACATCTCTACCCCTCCTTCAGAGTGCAAGAGGTGTGCTTTCCACCTCCAGGACTCAAATCAAGCTAATTGCTTTCCTTGAACCCCTTCATAAATGTCACCTTACACACACTCCAACAGCATGTCAAAATCTTAGCAATTATTTATATTATTATTACTACCACAATTATAATCATTCTAGGTAGTAGGTTGGTAGACAGTAACCGCCCAGGGAGGTACTACCGTCCTGCCAAGTGAGTGTAAATAGAAGGCCTGTAATTGTTTTACATGATGGTAGGATTGCTGGTATCCTTTTTTCTGTCTCATAAACATGCAAGATTTCAGGTACGTCTTGCTACTTCTACTTACACTTAGGTTATACTATACATACATGTACAAGCATATATATATATATATATATATATATATATATATATATATATATATATATATATATATATACACACACACACACACCCCTCTGGGTTTTCTTCTATTTTCTTTCTAGTTCTTTTTCTTGTTTATTTCCTCTTATCTCCATGGGGAAGTGGAACAGAATTCTTCCTCCATAAGCCATGCGTGTTGTAAGAGGCAACTAATATGCCGGGACCAAGGGGCTAGTAACCCCTCCTCCTGTATAAAATACTAAATTTAAAAAGAGAAACTTTTGTTTTTCTTTTTGGGCCACCCTGCCTCAGTGGGATATGGCCAGTTTGTTGAAAGAAGAATTATAAACATGGGAGAAGTATTAAACCCGTGTCATACAGTACCTGGAAAATGATAGGGGTGGGTGGCAATCAGCTTTGATCAGAGGATGTGAAGAGTAGCTCCAATTCCTTGGATCAAGAGCCCTTCATCATGCTACAAACAATTTTCACCCAGTCTCCCATTATACAGTTATGTTAATTCATTGCAACCATTGTAGCAGGATCACCAAGTGGTCCAGTACCCTGACATTATAAAGATAAACCTATAATGACTGTTTATTTACCTTTGGTTATATGCCTATATTAGTGATGTAGTACGTACATAATGAAATGTCCATTCTTTAAATACTGCATTACAAGTAACAGTTACCAATGCTATAAACAAAAATAAAGGTCTATCTATGGTATTTACAACAATCTGATCATTTTATTGTATTTCATGAAGTATTAGACTCATGTGGGTCATTCATTGGAAGGAGCAAAGAAGACATGATCTTCTGACCACTAGTCATGGCCTGATCTCTGTTTAGTCTGGCTAACCAATACATGTACATGCAGAAGATAAAGAAATACAGTGGACCCCCGGTTAACGATATTTTTTCACTCCAGAAGTATGTTCAGGTGCCAGTACTGACCGAATTTGTTCCCATAAGGAATATTGTGAAGTAGATTAGTCCATTTCAGACCCCCAAACATACATGTACAAACGCACTTACATAAATACACTTACATAATTGGTCGCATTCGGAGGTGATCGTTATGCGGGGGTCCACTGTATAGGGAATTTCCATCTGATTGCCCTGTCAATGCTAACCTTTATGTTATGAGAATTTTTTGAATAATTAGTCGGAGGAAGAAAGAAGCTCCTTCTGGCAGAGGAGGGTCCATGGCGTACACACTTCCTCAGACTGGGGTCATCCTCCCTGAAGAAATACAGAGTCCAATGAGCACGTGGGAATTATTTCTTAGTTTTTCTTGCCAAGTTAATTTTTTAATTTACTTGCTTATCTATCTATATGTGTGTTTTAAACTGTGTATATATGGGTGTGGAGTCTGCATGTATCTATGGTGAGTGTATGTACATATGGGATGTGTGGTGTGTACATGTGGATGTGATGTGTGTATGTGGGTGTGGTATGTATGTGTGTTGTGAGCAGTTACCCATGTGTGGTGAGTATATGTACATGAGACTGTGTGACAGATGCATACACAGTTCATATCGCAGGTTCTATCCCTGCCCATTGTATGGTTTGTTTGCAATCGTGTCATTACGATTTTGTGAGTCACAGTTCATACGGCTGTGGTGTGTATGTATGGCTATGTAATGCATATGTATGTGTGATGACTGCACCTATTGGTATGGTGCATGTGCACATATGAGTGATAAGTGTGTACATATGAATTTGAGATAAGAGTCTGCTTATGTAAGTGTGGTGATTATATACTGGAGTATGGTGAGTGTATACTGTACATATGAAGTGCTTTGAGTGTGTACATATGGGTGAGAGACAAGGGTGTAGCTACACAGGAGATTGCAATGTATGGATAAACAGTAAATAACATTAGCACAATTCACAATTTATGAAACAAGATGTCAAAATGTATATACGTATTATATAAAATAAGCCCTCAATTTAAAATACAGTACGTACTTTGGAAATACAGGACCAACACACTCGGTCAAATGATTTGGAAACAGCAGATAATGTTGAGTGGTTACAGAACTGTCACTAACAAAACAATCTCATCTGTACCACCACAATTATTATTAAACCATACCACAGGCGGGATTGAACCCGTGTTCACCTGTTCTTCGGCCCCTCCTTTCCCCTTATCAGTCCATTAGATCTAGGGTTTGCTGTTTTGATGTCATTACTCCTTGAAAAGGTTTAATAAGCCCAGGACAATTCTAAGTGTATCATTCTAATCACTGTATCATTGTATCATTCTAACTGTATCATGTACTTGTTGAAATAAAGATTGTTATTATTTTTATTATTATTATTATTATTATTATTATGTAGTACAGTGGTTAGGACACTGCTCACACCCAAGAAGACAACAGATCGAACTCCACAATATGCAGGGATACAGGGGCAAGTCTCTTACACCTATGGCTCCTGTTACCTGCAGGTAATTAGATACCTGGTAGTTAGTTAGACTCTTGTGGGTTATATCCTGGGGAGGAGAGGACTCCACTAGAACTAAGCCACATAGATTCACTTTACTGGGTCATCCTAATTCTTTGGAGATAATTATCCAAAGTCTTCTTAGTGTCAATAACTTAATACATACATTGACTGACAAAATTATATATGTACATATACGGTATATATACTACCCAAATGGTTTCTAAGGAAGAAGCTGTCATCAATCTAGTCTAATGAAAGTCACAATCCCAGGCTAGCCCAAGTTTATGAGAGAAAGATTAAGGTCTTGGTTATAGACACCTGCTGTCCCTGTCCCTGTTCACCCATCAGTTTAAAATGGGTACCTGGGTGTTAGTCGGCTGGTGTGGGTCGCATCCTGGGACAAAACTGACCTAATTTGCGGGAAATGCTCAGCATAACAAGCAGCTTTCTATATAGTAGTATATCATTGATGTCAGCTATGGTTTGTATACCTTGTACATGTACTTGTAGTAAATAAAGGTATGTATTATTATTATTATTATTATTATTATTATATTACAGTGGATGAATGCTCCTCAGTGTTAATCAGACATTATTTAATATTTTACGATATGTATAAGCTATCTAAGTACATCATGCAATAAACAGATATTCTTTGGGCAAATTGTTGTTTAGGGAGATATAAGTTCTATGACTGATCCATCAGAGCAAGTCGTGGCTCTGTAGTATTGCAGCCTGGCCAATCATAGCAATGTAAATAAAAATACAGTGGACATAACAAAGTTAGGTTAGGTAAGATTTGTCAGGAAACAGGACAAGTGTTTCCTGACGCGGGTCTTAGTCATATGATGACCCGTAGCTAGAACTTTTGGTCATCTGACTGAGGCCTTCCACTGGCTTACCCCTCCACCCCTTTAAAAATTATGGTTATTATTATAGTCATTTTACAAAGATGTTAGAATAAGGTTCTTGCATTAGGATATTTTGGGTTGGGGTAATAAGTTTATTTAGGTACATAATTTTTGGATGAATTACAATTGTCTTACAGAGGTAACTTGTAAATTATCCCCCCAAAAAGTCAGTTATCTTTCTTACCATGTGAAAAACATAAGTAAATAAGTTTACTTAGGCACAGTTACACATGAATACAATTATCATACATTGTGTAAATTACCTAGGATAACCCCCCAAAAAAGTCGAAGTGATTTGTTTCCACTGAGGTAAGTAAGTTTATTTAGGTACAGGTACACATAAATACAGTTACGCAAATTATCATACATAATAACATGTGTAAATCACCTAGGATAACCCCCCCAAAAAATCTGACTTATTTCCAATGGAGCCAACACACAAACACACTGCTAGAACTACGGTCCTAGCCACAGATCGGCCAAATAATAATATAATCAAGTTAAGTGCTAAACCTGAAAGGGTCATATATCGCTGGAAACCAGCCCCCCTCCCCCCCCCAAAAAAAAAACTCACCTAAATAACGTCATCCAGGTCAGTGTGTTGACATGTCTGGGTTGATGATGGCAGCTCCTCCCTCATCACACTTTCTCATATATACTTACATTTTCTCTAGTTGTCCTGGGTTAGAAATGTTTTCCTTTTATTGATATATAGCTGTTGTCTGTTGTCAATATATAATAAAGTACATTTATTTGTGTTGATTAGAAAGGCCATTATAAATAAGCCGAGTTGAATCCTGTGTCCAAGTTAATGGGGTTAAATTATCACTTATATATTACAGTTACTTCTAAGACAGAAAGTAATAAGTGATGGTAAGTGATAAAGTTGGATCATGGCACCCAAAACCCCAGAAAAAACGAGACACATTATCTTTCCTAAACCATACTTGGTGACCGGTTTTCCCTACAAGCTGTAAAATGTTCCTGGTTTTGAAAAATGAGCTGGTGTTTGGTGCCCAAAATATACGATGAATTAGCCGAAAAAAATAGGTGTATTTTAGTCGCTTCACTATCCTTGTATTCTATAACTCCAGTTCCCTGTGACTCATTGCACGCGACAGGAATAGTGCAGAGTGTGGCATAAGTTGGCATCGCAGTTAAATATTAACAATGAAGATTTGAAGGAAATCACAGAGGTATTCGCAAATCATAGAGAAATTAATATTCAAATTTCTTTAATAAAACTGGTAAATTAGGTTACACATAGGCCAAATGTAATTCAGATCTTTCAAAGAGATCAGGAGACCAATACTCAGCTCACACATTGAGGTCCGTGGTTCGATCCCCGGTACGAGTGGCAACATTAGGACGTGTTTCCTTAAGACACCTGTTGTCTCTGTTCACCTAGTAGTAAAATATGTACCTGGGTGTTAGTCGACTAGTGTGGGTCACATCCCAGGGACAAAAATGACCTAATTTACCCGATGTGACTAAATATAACCTGATCTTCAGACAGTTTTTGGATTATTAGTGTACGATTATTACATATGTCTGTAACGTCTGGCCGGTTGAGGTGTATGTTTAGCTGCACTTATAAGTTAACGTTATTGTGTCATGTAGGTAGTGAAATTTAGTTGTTTTTATTCTACATTGTATGTGTAAAGAGGTGCCAATTGTATTAGACTGTTGAATTAGCGTCTACTACTTTTGGTGTATGGGAGATAACAGAGAGCACACTTCCACCCGGAGGGGTAGTCGGTGTGCGCGGAATTATGTTAGATTCCACACGAAGAACGTCTTAGATTGGATATGAGTATCAGTGGCGAGTTGTGAATGGTGTTGTATAGGATGTAAAGGTATTGAGTCAGTACACATTTTACCCTTGTAATCAAATGTGTAGAATTATTTAGTATTTTGTATAATATTCAATGTACCGGGGGTCAGTGTCAATCGTAAGGTGTGTGTTGGTGTGCCGTGTATATATTAAATGTCAGGAGAATAGGGTTTATTTGTAACAAAAAAAGGCACAATACCGTGACTGGAACGATACACAACTTTCCTTGTATGAATCTTAGCCCTGGCTTCGTCTCTGTAGATGCCTTCCTCTCCCACTACATTGTAAAATGCTCCAAACTTCAGAACACCAGTGACTTAACCTGACTCCTCATTTTTTCTTTTTCTTTTTCTTCTTCTCCCTCTTCCTCTTTCCTTTTCTCCTCTGGGTTGTCTTTCTCTCTTCTGTCTCGTGTTTCTGTTCCTTCTTCATTTATTTCACCACTTCCCCTTTCACGCACCTCTGTGCGCTTGATCTCCCTCAGTGGGCACCTAGCTCTCTTGGTATAAACCTTGGTAATAAATACCGACAAGTTGGTTTAGAAAGACACGTAAGCAAACACTATAACATATTTATTAGAAAACGTTTCGGTCCTGGGACCTTGATCACTTCTAACATACAGAGGTAGAAAGACATTATATATATAGGCGGAGAGTGAGATGTGACGCACGTGACCTGAGGAATGTCATAAGAACATAAGAATGGAGGAACACTGTAGAAGGCCTACTGGCCCATGCGAGGCAGGTCCTAATCAAAACAACCTCTGTCTATGATGAGGACCAGTAGACGATGAAATCATGTGACTCCTGTGTTGTTGGGTTGGTGCTGCTTAAGTATCATGTATGCCAATGTTTTTGAAATTTTGTAGTTTCCAGTGTTGCGTTCTATAGTGTCGGTGACGGTGAATAGTGAGGCTTCTAGGCACCGTCGGCGTCTGAGTCTGGTTCGGTGAGAACGAGTTGTGCCTCGTTCCAGTTCATCAAATGCCCCGTTGAGTCTCTGTGGAGGACACAGGCGTACCTTACATCGTCTCTGTTAGAGGCATTTCGATGCTCATTCAGGCGGACTGCAAGATCTCTGCCTGTCTCGCCTACATATTTCTTGGGACAGAACCCACAAGGGACGTGTAGACGCCTGCTGTAGAAGTTAGAGGTGTGGGGCTGCGTTTAGTAGTGAGGTCTTTGATAGAGGATGTGTTTATGGTGGAAACGTTGATGTTACTCATAGCAAGTGCCCGGCGAGTATTCGTGGCAACATCGCCACATGGGAGTACTATGAACTGTTTAGGGGGCTGTTCCATGGGCGGTTTGTTGAGGATAGCTTGTGCCTTGAGTCTGCAATCTCGGATGAAGAAAGATGGGAACTGAAGACGTGTAAAGGCTTGTGTTATGTAAGTGCATTCTTCTTCTAGAAAACAAGGGCTGGAGATGCGAAGAGCTCTCAAGAAGAAGCCAATGAGGACTCCTCTCTTAGTGCGGGTATCTTGGTGTGAATAAAAGTGTATAAGATCGTCCTTGTGTATAAGATCGTCCTCGACGTTCTACTGTGCAGATCTCCCGACAGTGACAAACTTCTCTTCAAAGTGTATAGAAAACCTACCAACAAGGACGATCTTATACACTTTTATTCACACCAAGATACCCGCACTAAGAGAGGAGTCCTCATTGGCTTCTTCTTGAGAGCTCTTCGCATCTCCAGCCCTTGTTTTCTAGAAGAAGAATGCACTTACATAACACAAGCCTTTACACGTCTTCAGTTCCCATCTTTCTTCATCCGAGATTGCAGACTCAAGGCACAAGCTATCCTCAACAAACCGCCCATGGAACAGCCCCCTAAACAGTTCATAGTACTCCCATGTGGCGATGTTGCCACGAATACTCGCCGGGCACTTGCTATGAGTAACATCAACGTTTCCACCATAAACACATCCTCTATCAAAGACCTCACTACTAAACGCAGCCCCACACCTCTAACTTCTACAGCAGGCGTCTACACGATCCCTTGTGGGTTTGTCCCAAGAAATATGTAGGCGAGACAGGCAGAGATCTTGCAGTCCGCCTGAATGAGCATCGAAATGCCTCTAACAGAGACGATGTAAGGTACGCCTGTGTCCTCCACAGAGACTCAACGGGCATTTGATGAACTGGAACGAGGCACAACTCGTTCTCACCGAACCAGACCTCAGACGCCGACGGTGCCTAGAAGCCTCACTAATCACCGTCCACCGACACTATAGAACGCAAACACTGGAAACTACAAAATTCAAAAAACATTGGCATACATGATACTTAAGCAGCACCAACCCAACAACACAGAGTCACATGATTTCATCGTCTACTGGTCCTCATCATAGACAGAGGTTGTTTTGATAAGGACCTGCCTCGCATGGGCCAGTAGGCCTTCTACAGTGTTCCTCCATTCTTATGTTCTTATGACATTCCTCAGGTCACGTGCGTCACATCTCACTCTCCGCCTATATATATAATGTCTTTCTACCTCTGTATGTTAGAAGTGATCAAGGTCCCAGGACCGAAACGTTTTCTAATAAATATGTTATAGTGTTTGCTTACGTGTCTTTCTAAACCACCTAGCTCTCTTGCAGTGCTCCCCTTCCTTTGTATTTGACTGACTCGTCCTCCTTATTTCCCACTTCTACCACTACCACTACTACTACCTCTTCTACTACAACAACTACTGATGAAATTAAGACACATGTGCGGTGTCTGGTTGTCTTTGTTGTGGACGTTTCGCCATCCAGTGGCTGGCTGGATGGCGAAACGTCTACGATAGGGATGCCCGGGTGTTGCGCATGTGTCTTAATTTCATCTTGTCGGTATTATGTACCATTCTTGTACTACTACTACTACTACCACCACCACCACCTCTTCCTGCCTATATATAGCCGTCCTGCTCCACTTCTGGAGCAGGCCATTTACTCAGTTGTCTACGAAGATTGCTACAACGCTCCTGAAGAGAATCTTTCAGAATGTTGAGAACCTTCTTGATCTGCTGCTTGCTTGCTGTGGCCCTCTCCGATAAAGGTCATAATGCCCCTCTCCAGACTTGTACTGACACTGTTGAAACAGTCACAGTAACGGATACCGAAGTCGAAGTTCTTACATCAACCGCAACGCACTATATATTGGATTATCAATATCAAGAAATAAACATTACTAAGACAGTAATGCTTCCGTCTACAGTGTATGTGAGAAAGACAATTACTTCGTATCCGCAACATTCGGTTTTGACTCACACACTTTCTCTCACGTCAACAATCTTCGTGCCTGTTGAAGAAACTCTTACTACAACAAGTCTAGTTACAGAAACCTGTCGAATAAAGCTTACAAATGTTAAAGTGACTTACAAAACCTCGACAACAACTACTTTTTCAACAAGGACTACCACCATAACTAATACCGATGAGCTGACCGACACGATGTTCAGGACAAGGATTTACATTACAACCGATAAACGTTACGTTACTAAGACGACAAAAATACCTTTTTACAAAACCATCAACGTATCAAAAACCAGCAGCGTCTACGTGACGTCCACTATCGCCCACTATTTTACTTTCGATATAACGAAGACTTTGAAGACTACTGCCTACCAAACTGCAAGTACTTGTATCCCTCATAAAACAGAACATCTCAACAAGTTTGACTCGATTGAAAAGCTAGAGAAATTCAAAGAAGACTTTGCATCTAAAGGGCTTGATTTCTTTAAGAATGGACACGGACTGATTAAGAAGCATTTCGCTCAGAAATCTAAAGTAAAGGGGCTAGATTTCTTTAAGAATGGACACGGACTAATAAAGAACCATTTCGCTCAGAAATCTAAGGTGCCTATTCAAGATGACACCATTCAACTCTATGGATCCCAAGAATAATTTGCAGTCGTATTAATTGTGCCAGTGATTTGTATTAGCAAAGCTTTTTGTTATTTATCGAATAAAAATTAAAAATTTATATATATT